TCGGGCCGCTTCGGCAGCGGCCACCAGGGGGCCCAGCAGGTCTTTGGCGAGCTTGGAGAAGCCAGCGTTGAGGTCGTCCTTCCTCTTGGCGATCTCTTCGCGGCCCTTGTCCTCGAGCTCAGCGTCGCCCTCGAAGAAACTGACCTCATCCACTGTGAGGAAGGCACCCAGGTTGAAGGTGTCAGCGCACAAGTCTTCCAACTCGAGCTTGGCAGGGGCTGGCGCCGCGGGGGCGGGAGCCACGGCCGCCTGCTGCTGCAGCTCGGCCACCAGAGCCTTGTACTGCTGGTCGGCTGTGGCCAACTCCTCACGAATGCTCCGCACCGTGTCCTCGAGCTTGGCGACGTCGTTCCTCCAGCCCAAAAGCTTGTCCACCTCCCTGTCCAACGCCTTCTCCAGTTGAGCCGCCGCGGCGAACTGCTGCTGCACACGCTGGTGGAGAGGTGTGGGAGGCTTGGGCGACTCCAGTGCGTGCAGCTTCTTGAACTCAGCCTCATACTTGGATGCTGTGGTAAGGTCCCCTCCTTTCCGCGCGAGATCTGCCAGCTGCTTGGCCTCGTTCGCGTTGAGCTGGCTCTGGGGCCCGACTGGAAGAGGGGGTGCCTTGACACCAGCGCCTCCAGGATGCCCACCTCCGTGCCCAGCTCCAGCAGGCTGCCCGGGACCTCCAGGGGGCCCAGGGAGAGGCCGAGAGTGCTTGGCCCAAGGTGCCGCGGAGAAAACGCCAGGAGGGGCCTGCGACCACACCCCGCTCTGTGGGGCTCCACCTTCGACTGGACGCACAGCAGCAAGAGGAGTCCCACAATGCTTGCAGTAGCGGGCCGCCTTGGGGTTCTTCGCACAACCACAGGAGCTGTACTTGAACTTGGAATATCCTTCTGAACTTTTGTCCGAATACATGTAGGCGCCGTAGTGCCACGGGGGGGCGGCCGTGCCGCTGGACCAGTCATCACGACCACGTCCTTTGCCACGCCCGACTCCTTTAGCACCACCATTGCGCAAGGCAGGCGGGGGTGTCATACACCCCGAAAGTCAATCACTGAGAAGATCCGAGCCAGAAGGCCCGTTGACGCAGCGTGCCGCTCTGAAGTTCGCGTCAACAAGCACAAAACTTGTGCCAGAACGGCTGCGTGGCCTTGAGGAGGAAGAAGAAGAGGAGGAGAAGGAGGAGGAGGAGGAGGAATTCGCCGGCCCAACGGGCCAGAGGCGTGCTAAGATCTCCGGTAACTGGTTAACAATATTTCTAGTTCGCGCGCGCGGGGCGGCCCCTGGGGGTCCCCTGGCGAAAAGTACCCCGACAGCAGCCCAACCACTGCTACCTAGAGATGGTTTTCCTCCTGGGTGTGGTTTCTCAGGCCCCCCAGAGCGCGCCAAGAGTGCCCCAAGAGGCCCCCAAGACTGCCGAAAGGGCCCCCGAGACGCCCAAAGAGCGCTCCCAGGCGCCGATGATGACCCCAAGACGGCCCAAGAGGCCTCCAAGTGGCCTCCAAGCGGCCTCACAAGAGGGCCCCGAGAGGCCCAAATCATAAATTGTATGATGGTTTTGGAAGGATTTGGGCCTTGTCCCCTTTTCGGCCATCCGATGCTCCAAGACGGCCCAAGAGGCCCCCAAGAGCGCCCCAAGACGGGCCAAGAAGCTTCCAAGAGGGCCCCAAGAGGGCCCAAGAGGGCCCCGAGACGGCCCAAGAGGCGCCCAAGACGGCCCACGACTGCCCTAAGACGGCCCCAAGAGGGGCCCAAGAAGGGGACCACGGACCGAAACCTCGCGCCTTCCGCCCCAAGAGGGCCCCAGGAGGCCCCGAGAGGCCCCCAAGAGGCCCCAAGATGCCGCCAAGAGGCCCAAGAGGCCTCAGGAGGCCCCCAGGAGGCCCCCAGAAGGCTTCAAAAATGCCTCCCAGGCGCCCCCGAACGGTTTCTCAAAAGACCCCAAGAGGCCTCCCAAAGAAGCATCTTGACGACGACCCTGTTTGGCATCAAGAGCAACACAAGACGCCAACGAGAGGCTTCCTCCTCCGCCCCTTCCTCTTCCTCCTCCTCCTCCTCCTCCTCCTCCTCCTCCTCCTACTTATCTTCGTCCTCCTCCTCTCCTTCTCATCCTCTTCTCCTCCTCCCCTCCCCTTCCCCATCCTCATCTTCTTCCTCCTTGGCGGCGCCACAATGGCCTCGGGCCCACGGCGAAGCAGTAGCGATCATGCAACATGGGCCGGCGGAGTGAGCGAAGCGATTGAATAAGGAAAAGGAGGAGGGGGAGGGGGAGGGGGAGGAGGAGGAGGAGGAGGAGGAGGAGGAAGAAGAGGAGGAGAAGGAGGAGGAGCAGGAATAAGGAATAGGAGGAGGGGGAGGGGAGGAGGGGGAGGAGTTGGAGGAAGATAAGGAGAATGAGGAGGAAGAAGGAATAGGAAGAGGAGGAAGAGGGGGAGGAGGAAGAGGTAGACCGTCCCGCCACCCCGCCACCGACCGCCGCCGCCTTTGCCCGCCCAACCCATCGCCGCTCCTCCTGCTCCCTGCTTGCCTGCTTGGTCTCGTGACCCGCGTCGTGGATTTGGTCGTCGTCGTCGTCACCTGACTTTTTGCCAGACCACCCCAAACCAACCCGAGGACCCGAATTTGACCCGAATTTCGGGTTGGGGGGGGTACGGGTTCCATGTGCTTTGTCCATGTTCCCCGACCCCCCCACACTGGAAATGGAGGGCAAATTGAGGCCTTCGGGTTGGGTTGGGGTGGTTTGGTGGGTGGTGATCATCGTCTTCGCCGTCGTGGCCGTCCGTCGACGTCGACACTGTCGTCTCCGTGCATGTCACTAATGACTTCAGAAGGGGGCGGAGGAAGAGGGGCAACATGACAAATGATTAGCTTGGTGACGGGCAGGAGGACGAGGTGGACGAGGAAGCAACAACGGCCATCCTACTTTTAAGCATGCTTCAGCTTCCTGTGCTCCTGCAAGTGCTCGTCCTCCACACATCGCTTCTCTTCTCTGTTCATGTTGCGACCCGTCGTCCTGTGTACCCGCCTAAGTATGTTGATCCTTCTCTAAGTCTTGCGTTCCCATTCGTCATTTTGATGGGTTGTTCGTCTCTCGGCTGCTGAGTGCGATTATCCTCCTCCCCCATCATCACCCCCCATCCTGCTCCTCACCCCCCTTCCTGTGAGATGCGGGAACATGTGAACGAATAGCAACCGTTAACAAACAATGGTACGTACGGCAGCTAGCACGCAGCGCGCAAGCAATGAGTGAACAGTGCGCAGCAGTGACAGGTCTGCCCAGCAGAGGGCAGCATTGGTCAATACTGATTGGCACTGAACAACACTTGTCAATCAGCGGGCAGTGACCACTACTGGCCAACAGTGAACAAGCCTGGACAAAAGTGAGCACGCAATGACTCTCACTGACCAGCCGCGCACGGAAGTGAGAAGCACTGAGCAGCAGTGGGCAACAGGAAATCGATCTTTCAGAACGCGAGCGCTGGGCAACAGTGAGCATCCAATGAGGAGGCACTGCAAACAGTGCGCAGCAGCGAGAATCAGTGCGCAACAGAGCGCACCAATGAACTGAGGTAAGCCGCAAGCACAGCGAGCGCCACAGAGCAGCATTGAGAAGCATTGAGCAAATTGTGGGCAGCCTTTTGGAGCATAGGGCACGCCGCTCGCGGTACTGGCTAGGCACGATCAGCAGTGAACAAGGCGTGGGCAGCAGTAGGCAATGAGTGGACAAGCACTGGGCCGACAGCGCGTAGCAGCGAACAAGAATGAGCCACGCAGCAGCAGTGATCACCAGTGATCAACACTGATCAAAACTGCGTAGCACAGCGGTGGGCCAGCAGCAGACAGCAGAGATCCACCGAACTCAACAGAGAACAGTAGTCAGTACCAGTGATCCGCTCTGAGAAGCACTGGCCAGCGGTGATCAATCAGTGCCCAGCACTGAGCACCAGTGAACGGTAGCGAGCTGCTGTGAGCAGGCAGTGGTCCACACTGGTCAGCGCTGCGCAGCGGTGGGCGATCTGCGACAAGAAAAGAGCAAACGTGCGCAGCAAAAAACACTCGTGCACACCAGTTTCCACAACTTAGCACGCAATCAATGAGCAACGACTGGTGGGCGCGCGATGGTGCTTGAACGTTTCCGATCTACGCACGCAAATGGCCCGAAAGGTCAGATTTAACAGACTGGCGAAACACCAATGGTTGACTTAAGACATGAGAAATCGCACGCGGGCAGAATTCTGCCAATTCTACGTCGGAGAACAACGGTTTTGAATAGTTGTTGACTTGCCACGCTTTGACACTGTTGTGGAGCAAATTATGTTGAATGGATTTTCAAGTTCGAGCGCGCGGTGGCGTGCGCATGTGCCCCGTGATGAATTGTTCGCAAGGCGTTCTTAGCAGAAACGCGTCTCAGATCAACGCTTCTGCACCGAGTGGTACGATTCGGACAAGGGGGATCGTCAACGGTGAGGCAAAATCATACACTGCCACATGACAAGGCGCGCGAATAATCCAATCCCGGCCTCGAGGGGGGATGGAGTCTGTTACATGTTGAGGAAGGATGATCTATGTACTGCCACCGATGTATACCTAGTGCAAAGTATGTCGTGCTTCGTGCGGGGTGCAAGGCACGCGGCGTTATCTATGTGGCGCAGTCTATGTCGCGCAAGCTGCGTGAGCACCCTGAAACTCAGGTCAGCGCACGGGGCGGCCACGAGGCGACCACTGGGCACGGTGAAACCAAGGTGAAAGACTTCCTCCATCCTCGATCTCTCCTCTCCTGGGACGAGGGAAGGTCGGAGGAGGGCCAATCAAGACAACGTCTGCTCTCCCGCCCAGCCCAAGCCCACTCAAAATCAGTGCCCGGACCCCTCCCAGGATCCATCCCGACACGTTTTTTCGAGGCGGATCCAGCCGTGGCGACGGAGAAGCCTCCAGGAGGACCAAGGGGACCGAAAACGCCAGGGGGCCGCCGTCCCTCGGAGGCGGCCCTCCTCCCAGCGGAGGGGCGGGGCGGCCGTCTTCTGCCACGACTGCAACAGCGACGCCATGGCGGAGCGGAGCTGCGCCACCTGCGCCGCAGGGCGAAGAAGGGCCGCCTCTGCGCCCACGTTTTCCGCTCCTGTGCCTGCGCCGCCTAAGCCGACGCCAACGCCAAACCTCACGACTAAGCCTACATAGAAGCTGCAAGGAGATTGGACATCCCCCAGAAATGAAAATGGCCATTTCCGGAAGAACTGCCAGGGGCCGGAACCGACCCAATCACAGACAGGAAAAGGTGGAACGGGCCGGATATGCTGCGGGGAAAACGGCCTAAAGATGAAAGGCTGGCCCGAGCCGTGTGCGTCCCCGTGAGCCTTCGCCGGTGCCTGCGTCTGCGCCCAAGCCTGTGCCGTCGCGTACGCCTACGCATTCCAGGACGAAGGACGACCGGCGGGAGCATGGAGGGATAAACGTGAGGGAATTTACTCTTTATTCCTCTTTTGCTTTTTTTGTGTCTCTCTCTCTCTCTCTCTTTCTTTCTCTCTCTCTCTCTCTCTCTCTCTCTCTCTCTCTCTTTCTATAATATATGTATGAATATACAAATACATGGAACAAATTGTGGCCCGGGTCTCTCACGCTACAACACTCGGTCAGAAGTCGATGTGCCTCTCGATTTCGGTCCGAGAGACATTGAGGGAGAGACGACGAGAAGGACGGCCCTCCTCGCACATTTCTCTCATCGTTCCTCTGCGTCCTGTTTCGCCCTCGCTGCACACTCCTCAGTCTGGTTCCACCCTATCAATCGCCCTCGCCTTCGACGACGACGACGACGACACTGCCGCGGCCGTTCCGTCGCCTCCCGCTCGTCCGCGAAGCCCGGCACGCGGAGGAAACCCTGCCTGCATGGGCGCCATCGTTGCTGCAGCCGTCGTCGCCGTCGTACTCCGCCTTCTCCCCCCCTTCGTCCCTACTTCCCTCCTGCCCCCTCGTCGTCCTTTTTCCTTCCCTCCTTTTCTCCGTCTTCCACCCCTATTCCCTCTCCTCCGCCTCCTCCTCTGCCTCCTCTTCCTCCTCCTCCTCCTCCTCCTCCTCATCTTTGTTTCGTCTGGAGCAGTTCAAGGTGAACGCTTCGGGTTTCAGCGCGTGCGATTGCGAATTTAAATGCGCGCGCCATGGAAGCAGACGTGCAATATGCAAGACCTCCTAGACAAGGGCACCAACTGCTCAACCTGATATTTTGGAAAACCGGGCGGTGGAGAAAAGTTGAGCAGGGACAGACCGCCCCGGCATTCCTATAGGCCTACCACGAAATGTTCGTAGAACCCGAATCATATAAGAACAAACGCAATGTTCTTATAACATATACCCGATGTGATAAAACAATCCAGCCCCAGCCATACATTTTCTAAGAAAATTTCGGGGAAACCACAATGGGTTCTTAGAACTTTGCTTGGTCGGCCTAGCCACTGCTTGAAGGAAGGACTCGTGGTCAAGACCGGCTTCGAACGCCCCCCCCCTTCATCGGCGGGCCTGCCAGGCGCGCGACCCGGATGTCGGCATGGTGCCGCCTCCGCCCGGTTCGGCTGAGCGCTCTCGCCTCTTCTGCGCCTCCTTCGTCGAGGACGGCCACGCTGTCCTCGGGGAGTTTCCGGGAACGCTCCAATACAACCCGCGGACACCGTAATGATTTCTCCTCCACGTGCATCATCACACGCGTGCGCGTTCCGAACAACTGCATGCACACAAGGCAATTGTGTTATGTTGCCCCCATCGTATTTAAGGACCACATCCCAGAAATAATTTCGAACACCAGGGGAAGTGTCGAAAAATGTCGAGACAATGTCGTGCGAGTGTATCACAGGGCCCAACACGCGAAACCACCAGAGTTTCGGAGATTCCTTGGCGTTCGCGAATCTCTTTTCTGTTGATCAAGGCTACAGCAGGTTGGAACATCATAACAAATGATGGGTGTCAGTGAAGGCGCGCAGTTTCCTGCACAGTCAGCAACCGCTTCGCGCCCCAGCCCAGGGACAACTCCAGCGCATTCAGACAATATGTCGAGGTCTTCGGCCAAAACCGCCATCCATGAGCGACGAACGCCTGCGTGGGGAAACACAACGCAAAACGGTAGCGGGACATTCAAGCATTCCGCGCTGAGCAAGCATAGCCTTATATACAATATCGTGATGGTTGGAGTTGTAAAATCTTCATGTGAGTAAGCAACAGCGGGTGAGGAGGGCACGGAGACCGTCCTGGCTGGAATAGGAGCAGCTGGAATATATTTTCATTGCGACACTGTGTGCGCGAGTAAGTTCACTGGTGTGAGACTGTGACCAAGTTCCAGCCTGATGCAAGCCCCGTGTAAACATAATGCCCTGGCACAACGCCATCCGCGTTTATACTGGCACACACTCCCGGTGCAAGATGCTGTGGCAAATCGGTTTGAAAGTCGAAACCGTGGCCCCGATCTTGGCGGCGATTTCTGGTCGCATGGTGTCCGTAGAACACGTCAAAGTCACAACATGTTCAAAGTCCACACATGTTTGTATTGGGACGCCGCCACGAGCCGGCGGTCATCCCCAAGCGAAGAGACACAAGGATGCCATCAATGTCTCGGAACAAGCGATGTCGCGCCTCGGTAGATCCAGGGCCAGCAAAGCGAAACAACACCCGGTATTACCTTTCTTGAACTTGAAGGTGAAGCCACAACGTGACAATATACCATTGAAAAGGCAAACGCAAATTCTCACCTTCTCAACAATGTCGCACGCATGCGCGATCTAAGGTTGAACAACGTCGTCAACGTACCCAGTGGGCCCAAACTTCACGGAGGGGGGGAGGGAGGAGGGACGGGGAGGGGAAGGAAGAGGGGGGCAGGGAGGAGGGGCGGAAGAGGAGGCGAGGGGGGGAGATCAGGAGGAAGACGGGAAACGAGAGGGGGGAGCGGGAGTGGGCCCATCATCATCACCACAGCAGGATACCGGCAGAAGGGCATGAACTGGAAGCTCGTGAAGCAGTCCTGCGGCGGTAATTCGCTCCTCAACAGCATTGAGATCGCGGCTAAAAGCAAGAAAGAACACAAAATCCCCCATCGAGTTGCCAGTGTCTCGATACACCCGGCGACACCTTCCACCGCGAACCATGATTGCCACGTGCTGTCACTGCCCACCTTTATTTCAAGCAGCGGTCCCAGCACGGTAGCTGATGACGTTTGTCCATGGTTGTTCACGCACGTGCTGCTCCCATCGTTGCTGCCGATGGTGTGGCTCGTGCTTCGGCGCCAGCGGGGACTGGTCGTCGCTTTTGTAGCTGATGACGTTGGGGTGCCCGAGTTGGCCATCGAAACTCTGGCCCCCTCCCCGCGAGGAATGGCCAAGAGGAGGAGGAGGAGGAGGAGGAGGAGGAGGAGGAGGAGGAGGAAGAGGAGGGGGCGGAGGAGGAGGAAGAAGAGGTGGAGGAAGAATCAACACGGCGGAGGCCGGGGAGCAGATGAGGCGACGCGGGCGTCAGAGGACGAAGACGGCGAGGAGGCGTGGGCGGAGGAAAGCATGGGCGCGGGACTTGGTGACTCCGAGATCCGATGTCTCCGACAGATCACACGACCAGGTCTCCCCTGGACCGGCCCCGCGAGGGCCCCCGGCCCCGGAGACGGGTCGAACTGCGAAGAACCGCGAGGGAGGAGAGATGCAGCAGCCGCGCCCCTCCCACTCAAAAAGTCCGAGCCTGGACCTCGCACGGACACCGCCGTGGCGGCGGCCCCCCCCCCCTCCCCCCCCCGAGCGGGCAAAGGCTGGCGGCGCACACAGGGTGCGGGGCAAGAGGGCGGGCCTTCTGCGAAGGCAGGGGGGTTCTCAGGAAGGCTCGGGGGCGCCTAAAAGAGGGCTGCGCAGAAGGCGGGGGGATTTCTATGACGCGGCCTGCTCTCTTGGAAGGCCGCCACCTCTGCGCGGCCCAGGCCAAAGAACGCGAACGAGGAGGGAGGAGGACGAGGAAGACTTTCCGAGGTCTCCAGACCGGGAGGAGGAGGAGGAGGAAGAGGAGGAGGAGGAGGAGGAGGAGGAGGGGGAGGAGGAGGGGGAGGAGGAAGGGCAAGGGTAGCGACAGTACCCCATACAGTCTTGATGTGATGCTCCTCCTGGCCTGGGTGGTGTCGTGGTTCCCCGACCACTTGGTGCCCAGACAGGAGGTCGTGATCCAGTCCCAGATTTGTCAGTTGATTGGGTGCGGCAGCTCATTGACCTCGCAACGAGGGGGAAGAAGAGTCAGTTGGCAAAACACACTGGTAACGCCCCCCAGGATGTCCCAAGAGGTCCCCACGAGGCTCCCAAGCGGATCCCAAGAGCTTCCCAAGAGGCCCCAAAACTACCCCCAAGGGGCCCCCGAGAGCGCTCGTCGTCGTTGTCGTCGTCATTAAGGGTCGGCGGCATCGGCCGTAAGGCTTTCGCAATGTATTCAGAACGTCCTCGCAGCGAAGGATCGTACAGCAATGTCTCCCCAGTCAGGGCCGATCAGGCGCACCGCTCGATCGTCAAGCCCAAAAACGACTTGCGGGATAGGACCAACAGGTTGTCCAAGATGCACGAAGCCGTGAACAAGCAGCAGGAGGACACCCGTACCTTGTCCGAGCTCTCGATCCAGGAGAGTACGTGTAAAGAGTCAATCACAAAACTGCCTGGCCATCTCGCCACACCGGCGTCCCAAACTCCAGCAATAAAGATGGTTTCGTTGGCAGATGCGTTACCGGGTAAGGACGCAGACTGGGAGTTATCGTGTGATGAGGATTCGTTTGGACTGGCTGAATTCATGGACTTGTCCGAAGATGACCTCAAGGAGGCCAGAGCCCGCGAAGCTAGTCTCAAGGAGCAGTTCAAGAAGTTGGCGACCCAGTTGTTCGGAGATCTTAAAACCAAAGCTGAGAAGTGCCAGAAAGAGCAGGCATTGCGTGCTAGGCTGGCGGGAAAGAAGCGTAGGCAGAACGAAGGTGCTAAAATTCCTTGAGATGAGGATGCACTCAGCCCTCGGCAGCTACGACGGGAACGGCGACTTTGGCATCTTCTTCATCCTCCGGTCCTGGCACAGGTACAGGCAAGCCACTCGGCAAAAGTTGCGAGGAGCTGCACGAAAAGGCGCAGAAGCTCCTCTCCTTAGGGAATGGCAAGGAGGTGGCCGAGCCTGCCCACGAGGAGAAGGCAGGTCAGCAGCAGCAGCAGCAGCAGGTTCAGCACATGTCAGGTCGGGGTGACTGTGAGGGCTCAGTCGACAGTGAGTCCAGTCCCCCACCTAGATCGGCCTCTACATGGAAGCTCGTGACTGCCAACACATCTGGTTGGTCAGGAGCTCAGCATCGGTGAACATATCCAGTTCTGACAGAAGCACGTGTCATGTGCATCAAGGAGAGCAAAGTTTTGAGTGACAAGGTTTCTCAGCGTGAAGGCGCAATGTCCTTTTAGATGGATCGGCAATACGTTTGTCTCCTGCCGTCAACGCGGCGGACACGGGAATTTCAGCAGGCGTGGGCATTGCCGTGGAGCACAACGTCGGTGTCGGCAGCGTCGCGGCGCCCCACAAACAACGTCTGAGCCCCAGCTGTTCCGCTGTTTGAGTGAATGGTGGAGTTCAAGGAGGCCTCTACCCGGTTAGCATGTATCTTCCTGACGGGGAGGAGGTCCAAGGAGAACGGGGGAAGCGGCTAGTGAAAAAGATGGGGAACTTCTTGTATGCGTCACAAGAACCGTTCATCTGGGCCGCGGACTTCGACGCCGTGCCGTCAGAGGTCGAGTCTATGGCCATCGTTTCAAAATTGCATGGAGTCGTGATCTACTGCGACCAGAAGTGCTACGACCAGGTGCCCCACGAAGTGGGGATTGCCTCACTCCACGCCGCGGCGGTGCCATCGGACTTGGTGGCGGTGTCTTTCGCGACGTGGTCGGGGCCACGACGTTGCCAAGTGGCTGGGGCGCTCCCGCAAGAGGTGGCCTGGCCGTCCCGAAGCCTAGCGCAGGGGGACTCCTGCGCGCCCAAGGTCCTCTGCTCGGTGCTGGCGCCCTGGGAGGTCGGGGGCGAGCAGTTCCTGTTCATGGACGACCGCTCGCTGGTGTGCCAGAGTGACCAGCAGCTCATCGACGGCATCGCCACGACCGACCGCTTCGATACTGAGACGGGGGCCGTGGAGAACCGAAGCAAGCGCCAAGAGTGGCATCGCGGCGAGTTCCGTCGCATCGAGCACATCGGGGTCGAGGCTGTACCAGACGATCCCACGGCCCCCGTCACCCCAGCGGGTGGATGGAAGAAAGTGTACGCAACCATCGCTGCACTACGAAAGCTACCTGGAAGGTCACGGACACGACTACGAGCTGCTGGTGCATATGTTGTACCGCGGTGGCTTTGGTGTTGCCCAGTATTTACGCTCCCGCCCACGGATGTGGCGGCGAAGCTTATGAGTTCGAGATTGCGGACGAGATGTCTCTGGTGGTGCCGCGGACGCTTTTGGCCCCTGCGTATTCAATATCATCCAGTATGTTCTAATGTCATTACGGCAGTGCGCCGTTTGACCGACTGGGAGTTGGGCTACAAACCCTGGGTCGAGCACAACCTGCAGGCCTTCCTCGAGGCGATCGGTTTAGTCTTCGTGCAGTA